TTACATTATCAGTGTCATTGTCTATATACGGCCTCCTTCATGTTTTATGAACATGACAGCCGTTCTTCTTTTCTTTTCTTTTTGTCCCCACTTTTTCATTTTTTGGTCATTTTTGACCTTTTTAACATGGGAGAGATGAAGCACTGGATTTCCATTTTGTTTTATTGAGCTGCTTTATTGGCCGTTCCTCTTTAGTACCAGTACAAGAAGAAGTTTGAGGAGAGTAGGGGTCACTACCATATGATACCCGACACACCTGAGCAGCTTCACCACAAAGAGGCCTCAGAGCTGCAGAGTCAAGTAAGTCACATACAGTTCTAGAGCTTTCCGCAGCTGACATCACCTGCTTCTCTGTGTGTGAAACGAAGACTGATTCTACACATACTGGACATGTTTATTTCATTTCATCAGGCTTGTCAGTCTCATGCAACTATAATAGATTTATGTATCACTTACATTTCATTTGTTTGGGTTAGTTTGTCTTGTAAACTGCTTTACAAGGACTTATTTGTACATTATGTAAGAACAAAGCTGTAAAAACACACCACTTCATCATTAAAACCCCAGACATTTTATATTGTAAAAACACCATAAACATCCATTGTATTTTAATGAATTTTCCACACTGTAAATCCTATAGTAAACTCTATTCTCAGTCTCAGTGCTTAGAAAAATAATATGGCAGATTAATTGACGTCCAATAAAAAAAAAACACAGCACAGACTGTACAAAAAGATTCAGTATGCAAACAAAACTTTGGTGTTTGCTTAACAAGCATTATTTGCTTAACCAATAAGTTTTTTTCTATTTGTATGTTCCTCACCTTTGTGCTTTTGTTGAATACAGGTGAAATATAAGGAGAAATATGAGAGAGAAAGAGGCAAAGCCATGCTGGATTTCGAGACTCCTACTTACGTAACTGCAAAGGAGGCTCAACATCTGCAGAGTCAGGTAAATACTGCTGCCCAAGCTTATTGTATTCAGTGCAAAACAAATAACAGCATATATTGCTCAAGTATTCTTTGTAACCCAGTGTGAATGAATGAGAAATGCTAAGTGGAATTCAAATACTGTGCTTTTGTGTGGATACAAATATTGTAATGCTGGTAAGTAATTGGAACACCACAATTTCCAACCAGGACCCATGGATTTATGGTAGGCATTTAGGTGTGTCATGTGTTCATAGTTTTATAGCGGTTTTGAAGGTTTCACTGTAGATACAGCACACTGATGGGAGAAAGCAGTTTAAGTGAATGTCAAGATACTCGAAACATGAACTGTAAAAATGTCACTGACTGAGGAACCAGTGTGACCATGGACTCGTATTCCAGAAGCTTCATGTATCTCTCTCTCACTCTTCTATCTTTGCGGTGGATAGAAAGAGTATAAGAAGGACTTTGAGATGACAATGAAAGGAAAGAACCTCTCTGGGTTGGAGGTCACCCCTGCCATGATGCATGTCAGACACGCCACAAAAATTGTTAGCGAGGTAACATGAAGCCCTTATATATTCTTCCTTCCATCCTGGTAATAATACTAAGACCACATAAACATTATAATCCTTACATGAGTGTCTTTGAAGTTTCCATTACACCCGAGTAGGTTATGGTTAGTATGCATGAACCATCCTTCTGCTGTAATACACTCTCAGTAATTCCCTTCCCCTTCCAACATCTATGTGTGTGTGTGTGTGTGTGTGTGTGTGTGCGTGTTTTCTTTTAATGTTTGTTTTCACAAGGTTCCCACAGTAATGGAAAACCTGGAGATATTAGGAAATTTAATTCCGGGCCAGGATTTCCAGGTTTTCAGAAATTGTGATTCCAGGCAAGGAAATGAACAAAGTTCAAAAAAGTCACGGACATGTCAAGTCATGGACATGAAAAGTACTCGTAATGCATAATTGTGCAATCTCTTTCAAATTATTTTTAATGATTTCTCATGACATTTTTGACTAGAAATGTCATTAAAAGTCATTGATCAAAAGGTGTGGGAACCCTGTTATTAAGGTTTGTCACATTTTTTATGATCGTATATCTTGATTTTTTTTAAAACCTACATTAAATCTGTTTTATTTTGTTTTATTTTAAAATAACCTCTTTAGATCTTGATTACCCTGAACATGTACATGAAATAACATTTTATTTTATTTTATTTATTTATTTATTTATTTATTTTTATTTTAACCGCTTTAGATCTGGGTTTGTCTTTAAAATCATATGAATGCTACTACGAAAAGAATGTAAATGTTAAAGAGTCTCAGACGATGTTTTTTGCCAATATTCTTGCCTGTGAGATTTCTGATGAACATTGTTTATGTCTATATCAGGTTGCTTTTCAAACTCAGCAATGCCTTTGCTCTATGTAGATTATACTCAGTTACTTTAATGGTGTCTGGACAACATGCACCTTGATTATATTCTGGATGTGAAGCTTTATCTCAAACCCAGAGCAAATGCTTGGTGACATTGAAAGAAATGTCAGTGAGCGCAGTAATGCACAAGTACTGTGTCTATGTCTGTGTGTGCTATGTGTCTGCAGTCTTTCTGTTCTTCTCCGCCTTGTAGAAAGAGTACAGGAGGGATCTAGAGGAAGGGGTGAAGGGTAAAGGGCTTACAGTGCTGGAGGAAACTCCTGAGTTACTGAGAGCAAAGAATGCTACTCAGATCCTGTGTGAGGTAGGATGGCTAAAGCTCAGCTGTATTATCTTACCTGCAGTCCTCTGCCACAACGCCACTTCCTCCTCAACACACTAATCAGGCAGAAAGTAGTCCATTTGCCTCTTGCTAATGAGAAAACTAATCAAGCTAATGGAGTCTACCTTTGGTTCGCCATCTAACCAGGTTTGGTAAAGCACAAAGAACTCCCACTAAATGTCAATTTGTCTTCCAGTTCTAAATGACCTCCCTTATGTTTTGTTTACACCTCTGATGTTAATATCCTCTTATTCTTTGCAGTTTTTATGCTGCTTTTTATTGTGTTTGTAGCCCACAGGAATGATTCTTGGTGTGAATGTAAATATCACTGATAAACACAAACATATGCACATGGTCACATGAGTATGATAATGTCTGCCCAATTCCTGCAGAGAGAGTACAAGAAAGCATTGGAGCAAGAGATCAAAGGAAAAGGCATGTTGGCTTTGGCTACTGACACTCCAGACTTCTTGAGGGCAAGGAATGCCACAGAAATCCTCAGTCAGGTACACAAATGATCTTCAACCCATCATTTAAATGTTTCCCTGAGTTGTGAGGTGATTCCTTTAACTATCAGCATCAACATTTCAACATTAATTGATACATGGATTTGTTTTGAATTTGTTTTCCAGGCCAAGTACAAGCAGAATGCTGAGCATGACAGAGCCACATACACCACAGTCATTGACACCCCTGACATCCTCCACGCTCAGCAGATCAGGAACATTGTGAGCCAGGTACGAGGTTTGCTTCTTTAAGAAGCTTCTTTTTTTAGTGTTAATTGCATGTGTGTTGGTAGAAAATTACAAATTCAGACAAATCAGGGATTCACACAGTAGACACCTTTTGGTAACAGTTCATATATTTTCAGCTTGACGTCTTGAGGTTGACAATGAACAGTTTCTGTAGGTTATCACCACTATTTTCACTGACTATTTGCTGAAAATGAAAAAAAGAGACTTTTTTAAAAGTTTTAGGCTGTTTTTTACCTTATGAATGGAAAGTGATAAGTCTTAAAGCTATTATCCAGTGCCTCTGTTTTATAACAGATATTGATTATTTAAGTGTAATCTCATGAACAACTCAATTTTGCCAATTCTGTCAACGCAGTATTGTCAATTTTGTATTTTATCCTATAGAAAAAGTACAAGGAGGAGGCTGAAAAGACCATGTCACACTATGTGCCTGTGTTGGACACTCCTGAGATGCAAAGAGTGCGTGAGAACCAGAAGAACTTCAGCACTGTAAGTGTTTCTTCAAGGGTTTGCGCCGGTCCATATTATGTTCCTGTTTTATTCATCTTAGCTTAAATGTGATATTTGTATCCTTTGTTGTCTTTGGTCCCTGTGTTTCCGGTTTGTCTATGAGAAATATAACTGAGAGGCAGATATGAAAAGAGTAGCCATACATTTCTTATGCTGGCTTAGTTACAGTAGTTGTCTATATCGCAATTCTCTCTAGATGATTTTGAACATTTTTGGTTGCACTGTTTTCTCTTGCTGCATTTTTGTGTAATTTTTGACTGCCTTTGTGCTCTTTTCTTTTTAGCTTCAGTACCAGCTTGACCTTAAAAACAGTAAGGGCAAAGTTTCAGCACTAAAGGACACCCCTGAAATGCTTTGTGTTAAAGAAAATACAAAGAATTTCAGCTCGGTACCTACTGCCTAATGAGTATATTTTTTTCCTACATTCTAACCATTTGGTCTATTTTTTTTTTTTGTGGACTTTTTCTGTTTCCATTTCTTGCTTTACACCACCTTTTTCTTTTTTTTATGTACTGCAACCACAAGTTAACATTTCTTGTTAACTCTTTTTATATCATGTAAATATAATATCCTAAACAGACCTAAGTCTAATATAGTCATTAAGACCTTAGTCTAATATAGTCATTAACTTGTAGTCATAAACTAGCAAAGCCACTAACGGTAATCGTCAAATTTGATGCTGTTGACCTTTCTTCATCCTAAACAATATCTCTAACCATTTTACAACCTTACTATTTACATATTTTACATCTTGGTTTGTATTTGTCTTCAATGATGTGTGTTTGAAATGTTTTTGTTTCTTTGTCGTTTTCTCAAATGTTTAGTCTGTTTTTATGTTGCAAGGGCACATTCTGAAGTGTCTCCAGACAAAACAAATGAAAACTACTTATCCCAAAGGATAACAAAAACAAATGTTAATGCCTCCTTATGCTTGTACAATCCCAAAGATCCAGTACAAGGAGGAGCTTGGGCAAGGAACAGCCATATCTGAAACCCCTGAGATGGAGAGGGTTAAAGCAATCAGTAGGCTATTAGCACGGTACACTGCGGTGTGACCCCATCATTCACCCTGCTTCCTGTTGGAGTGTCTCCAAAATGCCTCCTGATTTTAATCAAAATTCTGTCAGCATCCTAAGAAATGTAATATCAAACAAACATTCATTTTAATATATGCCATCTAATATCAAGCTATAATTTGAATGTTTTACTGAGTTGAAATAAATAGGCACTTCCTCTCATCATTTTAAATAACATAAAATAACATGGCCCATACATTTATCCATCTTCATTTGACACTGGTCTCAAGACTTGACTAGTGTTGCATTGTTTAAAACTCTCAACTTATCTTTTCTTCTGCATATGTGCCGATACTCTGTCTTACTCTGACTTATTTTATCTTGTCAGCAGTTCCATTTTCCTAATGGACTGAAATGTGTATTAGATTAAATACAGGAATTCACTAAGTCAAGGCATATCTGTAGCCGACCTTCCTGAGGTGAAGCGTGTATGGGAAACTCAGAAGAATATCAGCTCGGTAGTATTTTTCCTCTTTGAAGAAGACTCCTTGTTTAGACAAATTTATTCTCTCATTCTTTAATATTCTTTAAAGTCTCATTTCACCCTTCTTCAGTTTTTTAAGGATAAACATCCCTAAATAACCCAAACGTCCCCCTCCACTGTTTTATTTTATGTTCATACACTACTGTTTAAAAGTTTCTGGCTTCTAAGAGAAGTCTATTATATTCACCAAGACTGCATTTGTTTGCATTTGTGAAAAATACAGTAAAACCAGTAATATTATGAAATATTATTACAATTGAAATGAACTGTTTTTCTTGCTAGAGATCAATGTTTTTTTTTTTTTTTTTCCTTCACTTTTGTTTTCATGGTTTGTTTTATTTCAACAAAGTTTTGTATTTTTTTACACATTAATATTTGAAGATTATTTAAATGTGTACCTTTCTTGCCCCATTGCCTCTACATGCTTAAAGATCCAATACAAGGAAAATTTGGGAGTAGGAAGAGCTTTTTCAGAAATTCATGTTTTTTTCATCTGTTTATACTAGTCCCTCTAGTGACCCTAGGAATAAATCACTGCATCAAATCCATCATTTATAACAATATGTATAACTCGTCTAGCTCATGTGACAAAATCCTGTCATACATTGTCCTGTTAAAAACCTCAGAAATACTTGGTATTTATTTAGATGTAGGCTAATAACTAGCAACTGATTCTTTCATGTAATAATTGGGTACCAAACCATAAATTTATTTATTTTACAAAACCTGCAGTTTATCAACAACAATATTGATTCCTTAAACACAGTTGCTTTGCTCCAAAACCTAACAAGCTGCCTATGCTGGAAGCATTTTAAAGCATCATAAGCACGCTCCTGACCTGAAAGCTTTGGCACCTTTATGTAATTTTATGCTATTTGTGTTGAGCTGCCTATGTAAAGATGTACAAATACTCCACTTTGGGGCACTTATGATACAATTTTAGAAGGCTAAGGGTTTGCAACAGAGCTAATATTGTTGTGTATGTCATCTTTGTGGTTGTTCGTTCTCTAGCTGTTTTGGTTCATGTTTGTGTTGTTTATTTGATATGTCGAAATTAATCCTTGGGTAGATAAAATACAAGGATTCGCTGAGTCAAGGCACAGCCATACCAGACCTCCCTGAGATGAAGCGGGTCAAAGAGAATCAGAAGCACATCAGCTCGGTAGTGGAAGCTCCACTAGGGTTTACTTGAGAGTGGCTCTGATCCCATTAACGCTCCCAGTATACTTAATTTCCAGTTTATACAGTCCCATCATTGATGCAAAACAATTGAAGTGTATGAAATGTAATGCTTAAACCCCATTTTCATCTAATGTAATTGACCACATCATATTCCACCCTAGTTAGGTCCCCTTTCTGCTGTGAGCTCAAATGTATGGGATTATTCAACTCCAGACATTGTTGCTTAATCCAACACCAGATAAACTCTTGTATCCCACATTTGTCGTACTCCCTTCCCAACCAGGTTCCTCTTTTTAAATCTGGGATATAAACTCATTGTGTGTTGTGTGTGATGTTTGATGTGACTGCTCTCCAAAACTCTTGCGTCTGTCATGGTGTTTAGTGTCTGACTGGCCTCTGGGGGGCGCTGTTTTTTCTACTCTAGGTTTTGTATAAAGACCTGTCAGCGAAGGGAACGCCTGTGGTGTTCACTCCAGAGATGGAGCGGGCCAAACGGAACCAATTGCAGATTAGCTCGGTACTCACAGCCACGGGACATGAAGTGTGTGTTTGTGTGTCATGTGTAAATGTAACCGCTCTAATACCTTCATTTCATGTAGGAGGCTAATAATATTAACTGTACTCTTCCATATTCTGAATTTAATGCTGTAACCGATCATCATCACTACAAACCTTCATCTCGGGACCCGTCTACTTTTAATCCAGCCCCCTGAAGACCCTTCTAATTCATCTGTCTGAAATCACAATAACACCCAGGGTATTCATGTCATTTGTCTGTCTAATGTCCTGATTTCCTGGTGTGTCTTCCACAGGGTCTTGATACTCATATTCCAGAATTATTTGGTTTCTAATATGTATGTGCTGTGTTGTCTCGTGTCCAGGTTCTGTACTCCGACAGCTTCCGTAAGCAGGTGCAGGGCAAGGCCGCCTTTGTGCTGGACACCCCTGAGATGAGACGTGTTAAAGAAACCCAGCGTATCATCTCTGGAGTAAGATGACTTTTAAATCCATACCTTTATCAACATGTTGCAATGAACTGATTTTTCTATAGTATCTGAAGGGCAACCTGTTGCATTAAAAAATGTCAGACAATCTCAATGTCGATGTTTGCTGTAACAGTTTCTTTGTGTCTCCTGCCTCATGTATTGCTGTCTGTGGGTCTTCTCAGGTCAGATACCACCAGGACTTTGAGAAGAGTAAGGGCAGCTTCACCCCCACCATCTCTGACCCCGTCACTGAGCGCGTGAAGAGGAACACCCAGGACTTCAGTGACATCAGCTACCGCGGCATCCAGAGACGTGTGGTGGAGATGGAGAGGAGACGTGCAGAGGAGCACGATCAGGAGACCATCACTGGTCAGCTGACACATGCTGTGTTCTGTGCACACTAAACACACTTGAGTTTAGAAACAGAATTCTCTTCCCATAAATATAGAAAAACATGCCTCTTACAATATGTAAAGAATTATATACACAGGAACCAAATGAGACATTCACTAAAACTAGGTTTCCTTTTTCTCAAAGACCTGCGTGTGTGGCGCACAAACCCTGGCTCTGTCTTTGACTATGACCCTGCCGAGGACAACATCCAGTCCAGAAGTCTTCACATGATGTCAGGTAGGACACTCCTCTGCTGTCACTGGACTTAAGGGGGTCATAGGATGCTACATGCACTTTTACAAGTTGTTTGAACTGAAATGTGTGTTGGCATTTTGTGTACACAACCACCCTATAATGATAAAAATCCACCCAGTGGTTTATTTTTAATCTCGTTAAAAGTTTTCCCCTTTCTCAAATGAGCCGATCTCAGATGCCTGTCTGTGTGACGTCACACAGACAGGCCCCTCCCACGATAGTTTGATTGACAGTAGCGTTTCAGCACAGACTGGACTGGTGTCTTACCTCAGACACTGACTCATACTGAGTGAGCTGTCATCAGTCTATGGGCTTACATTTCTGCCACAATTCTGCGCGCGAAAGATCATATTTTGAGCGCACAAAAGTGCATTTTGCACATGCGCGATCTGAGTTTGTTGAGAAAATGTTCGTTTCGCAAAGAAAAATTTAAATGCAAAATTGATTTCCGTGCGCTCAAAATACTTTTTTCTTTGCGAAACGAACATTTTCTCCATAAACTCAGATCGCGCGTGTGCAAAATGCACTTTTGTGCGCTCAAAATACGATCTTTAGCGCGCAGAATTGTGGCAGAAATGTAAGCCCATATCAGTCCGCCATTGTTTCACCGCTGGAGCAGATGTAGACAAGAATGACTCCTAAGCAATTGACGTGTTCTGTTGTTGGATGTAATAATGAACATAGCAGTAATCATTTACTCCCGACATCTGAGCCGCTGAACTCGCAGTCGATTACATTTGTTTCTGAAGGGAATGCTCCCCCGATCTGCATGTTTTTTACACTACCATTGAGAAATTTTGACCAAACTATGTTACAGACTTTTCATTAAGACCCTAAAGAATCATACCAACTTGTGGAAAATGGGCATCCTATGACCCCTTTAAGGCCCCGATACACTTCAAGCGAAATCGAAGAACGAACTGATGTCATTTCGAACAAAATCCAGCCAGAACGAAGTTCGTTTTGTGTTTGTTTTGGGAGTTTCAAACTGCTTGCCAAAGCGAACTTTCCGGAAAAGTTTGTACCGACTGCAAAACACCTTCGTACTACCATTGGTCCATGACGATTACATCATAGGAGGTGTGCACTGAGGCTCCGCCTTCTTTCCCACGTAACTTTTCTCTGGGTGCACTTCGTCCTCGGAGGTGAGATGTCTGTGGGTAAAAAAACAGTGGAGAGCCGCTTTATAGTAGCAAATAAAGTTAGGCTTCTGAGACACTGATACTGTTTTTTATATTTAATATTGCTGATTAATATATTGAATAAAGTGCAATTTAAATACACGTGACATGACATCATGGGAGAGCTAATTTGCAGAGCTTGTGCAAACATACCCATGTTGCTGTAATCAAATGCTTTTTATAAAAAAATGCTTGCTGTTTTCTACATTTTTGTTGTGTTTATTTTGTTGAGGAAAGCGCGTAGCACATATTTACATATTCATTTAAATGCTGCTTTCATCAGAGTGGGTGGCGTCGGGATGTTCGCTAACAGTATACCGCTGAACACGTATTTCAAACTTCGTTTTACCCCTAAATGAAGAATGAAATGGAATTTCGTTTTGAGAATATCGGGGCCTTTAGGCCTTATTTGAACAGCTCTCGGGAATACTTGATTGTGATTGGGCAGTTGTGACGTCCTTCACTCACCTTCACCTGTTTAATGACCACCAAACTGTATAATGACCTGTTGTTTGTACACCCTATACTGTGGATGTATATTTATCTGCCACCTTCCTTGATTGACAACAGTCTGTCAAAGAGGAGGTAATGCTGACATGTTTGTCCCATTGTTCAGTCCAAGCCCAGCGTCGCAGTAAGGAGCACTCCCGCTCCACCAGTGCAATGAGTGGTGTGGGCGATGAGAAGTCAGAGGTGTCTGAGAACGTAGACCACCACGCATCCCTCTACAGCAATGGCTTTGGTGTCTCCACTCTACAAGGTACGTTTAAAGTGCTTGAACTGTCTTGACCCTGGGTTTAGCATGATAGTCGGCAATTCAAATTTTTGTAAATGATTCATCCATGTGTTTCATTTTTAAAACTTTTTTTGGACATTTTTAATCAAAATGTCATGACTGGATCTTTTAGTGAGACGCTAGACGTCTCTCTCTGGTGACGTATGCCAGACTTCTCCAAACATTAGGTCCACTTACACTCCATCCCTTTCTCGCAATCGACTGCAAGCTTGCATTCATTATTGAGTGAAATGCCCACATCCCAAAATTCAATTAACAACCGATTGGTAGAACCAAGTCTACATCCCATTCTTTTTCTTTTTCAATAATTCATTTTATTCAGCTGTATGTCACAATATGGAAGAGAAATAATCTTTCACTACTTAAATTTCATCAGTTACATTACATTTCTTCAGTCACATTAAAGATGGACAAAAATAAGTTAACAAATATGTTAATGGAATAATTCCGCTTGTGTGTGTGTGTGTGTGTTTCTATTTTAATATCCTTTAAAATATAATTTATTTCTGTGATGCAAAGCTGAATTTCCATCAGCCATTACTGCAGTATAAAGTGTCACATGATCCTTCAGAAATCAATGAATTGTTATCCCATAGAATTGTCACAGTGACAAAAGGGAACACATAATCCTCATATTTGGAGGAAATAAACAAAATTTTAGTACAGTTATGCAATTTTTTTGTATTTTAGTATGTTTTAGTAGTTTTTTAGTATTATTAGTAATCATTAGTATTATTAGTAATTAGTATTATTAAAATTCTGTAATGTGATGTGGTCGCTACCAAAGCATTATAGTCACTACTGAAAATGTGCGGTCACTACCGAAACGTGGGATGTTTTATCAAAAATAAAGTATACTGAATTATCAACTAAGATGTTATGATAGTTTTTGATTCAATGTATATTCAAACTAATAAATCCTTAACTTTGAGATCAGTATGATCAACTTTTTGCCTTTTTTTTTTAATTCAATCATTTAAATTTAATTCAAAATACAACAAATCTCATAATTTACACTTGAAATATTGTTTAAAATTGAGTTGACATTGATTTACCTCTGAGAAAATATGTAATAAAATAGCAAAAATATAAATTTACAATCTAGATGTAAGCAAAATCTTAATAGGTCAATATAACCCTTCTAATTAAATTATTATTACTGTGTCGGTAGTGACAAATTTGGAGAGAGGACAAATATTCCAAAACTTTCTAAAAATACAATATGAGAATTAACTGCACAATTACTAGAAATGTGTACCTTGGATATTATACAAT